CAGTTTCGACCTCGCATCGGTCTTATCAACACCCCCAGCTGGAGTCGAACCGTGACAGTGCAGAATGGGAGCTTGAAATGCTAACCACTCGGCGACATTGTCACGATTGCCCTTGGGTGACAGAGAAAATGTGAATTTCAAGGAAGGCCAGGCCTTTTGCCATATCATATTCTTTGGTGGGAATGTCGATGAAGCAAACGTATATTTGCTATAACAATCGACTACATTACTTATTATTCGCATTTAAGTATTGTTTCGAGACTACCAGTAAATCAGTAATATGAGATGCATTCACCCAATTTCGCTTAAGGTGATGAAGGACTGGTAAAAGAATTTTTCCACAATCATATGAGTAGAGCTGAAGTTTCCATTAAATTGTTATAGCAAATATACGTTTGCTTCATCGACATTCCCACCAAAGAATATGATATAGCAAAAGGCCTGGCCTTCCTTGCAGTTCACATCTGCCCTGTCACCCAAAAGCACTCGTGGCAATGTGGCCGAGTGGTTAAGTGTCAAGCTCTAATTCTGCACTGTCAAGGTTCAAATACCGATGAGGGTATTGATAAGACCGATGCCAGCTCAAAACTGCAGTCCACTCCTGCCTGGATAAGAACAACTTTTTGGAAAGCGAGGCTAAGTGAAATTCGATGGAAACTTCAGCTCTACTCATATGATTGTGATAAAATTCTTCTACCAGTCCTTCATCACCTTAAACGAAATTGGGTGGATACATCCCATAAATAATTGTATACTAAATACCTATCTAGACTATATAGCCCAGCTAGCAAAATAAGTGTCACCTTAACAGAAGCTAAGTTTGATGTTAATATATCTGTTACATATTCATTTCAAAATGCCCATCGTACCGCACCATCGAGTTAGGCATATACAAGGGGTCTGATTTCGCCTGCTCATCCGTGATACTTTATGTTTTCTTTCATTTATGTATTTTCATCCATATTTTCTCCATATTCACGAAGCTGGATACCGATTTCAAGTGAATTTACAGACACTAGGCATTTAAACAAAGCCAAAATTGCTGCCTATCAAATTCTAGTTGAGAAGAGATGATAGGAAATTCCTCTGACAATTTCAAAGTAGATAAAGATATATTGTTCGAAAAATAAAGATAGAAAACCATGTTAGGGAGAAAATAGGAATGAAGCTGCATAGCTCAGAGAATTCAAAACGGTAAATGAATAAATGAAACCCGACTCACCGGTTCCTGACCTGACCAAGTCGAATAGCCGGATCGGAATTCGTTACCCGAAAAGCCATTGCCTTGAGAGGCGGCTGTCGTCACTACTGAAGTAGCCATTTTCGTAGGAGAAAAGACGGTTCGTTCAGTAAAGAAACGCGAGGGCTGTGTGTATATAGCAGCCTGGGACGTAGACCCGGACGAGTTAATGATCAGCTTGGTATGCTGACCAGAGTGAGAGTGGGTGAAATCAAGCCCCGTACCTTCCCGACTCGATTTGGCATTGGGAAACGAGAGCAAAAGCTGCTCCGACGAATGCGACCTCTTAGGAACGATGAATAGGCAAAAAATATAGTTACAACAGTCAAGGGAGTGAAGGAAATCGCCTATGCATTCCTATAATATAAAGTACTTAGAGGTGGCCTGAGCTCATTTTCGCCATTTGGCAGAGAGATTCGAAATACCATATAGCCCAATGTGAGCTATGCTACTATGGCCTTGTCCTTCGGAATCGAACCGATGACTGAGTATACCCGAAGAAGTCATGCAGGCCTCCTAGTCGGCATGATAATCGGTGTTGATGGTGAGTACTTTTAGAACCGAAATATAGCTCATGAAAGTGACAAATGAGGTCAATCCTACTGATTATCAGTCTATTCAACAATTTAGGCACTATTATCCTCTACGACCCATTAAGAACCATGGCTCTCTACAGGAATTGCAACGTGAGGTCGAAGTGCACGCTCCAGTTTCGATTCAAGTTTAGAGCTGCCCATATTGGCAGACAAGGCTGATGAAATTCGATAGAACCGTGAAGCCCATTCATTTCCTTGTGGGAAATTCTACTGTCGATCCATAAAACACCCTATAAATCGGCCTATGGTGACTAAGAATTTGATATACATATTTTCCTGGCTGCTCAGATTGAGCTTCAGCAGCAAAACAGTTACCTCATAGAATTCGATGGCTACAGCAGTTGAAGAATCAAGCATTAACAATAAGAGACGAGATGCCTTTTAAATTCGAAGGCATAAAAAACGAAAACAGCAAAGTTTGGCCATATTAATCCTCTCTTGGATGCAAGATACAGGCGATAGCAAGAATTTCCCCTCCTTTGGACAAATCGAAATGGATGCTATGTTAAACAGTTCGAAAATGTGGAATTATTATGCCCACACTTGTAATTTGATTTGCAGCAACAATGAAACAACTATGCAGCATTATATCTTAAGCAATCTTCGTGCATTAGATACATATTGAAAAGTCAATGTGTACATGGTATCAATACAACCTAAAGCTCAATGTTGTTTTCCCGATATTTATTCATTCCAAGCTCAGTTTAG